GTGAACCACGGGGACATTGAGTGGACCCAGTGACATGCTTGTGGCATGTCAAAACGACCCAAGAGTTCAGTAGCTCAACTCACCCAAACACCTTTTTGCTCATAGGTGTGTTAAACAGGGGCCAGCCAGGGAATTCTTCGGGTCCCTGTATCCTACAATGAGAATTCCACAGTTCTTGTCGTGGCCTTGTCAAAAACTTGTGACCTGGACTGGAGCAATGGCTCAGTGGCCACAAGCATATACTGTTCTTCCTGAGAACCCAAGATCAGTGCCCAGAACCCATGTCAGGTAGCTGAGAGAACGTCCAGGAGTTACGATGGCGTCTGGCAGCCTCTTCCGCCTTCACAGGCGACTTTACCCGTATGCACACATACACACACAAACACACACACACACAATTAAAAACACAATTGGCCTGGCGGTGGCGGCGCATGCCTTTAATCCCAGCACTCGGGAGGCAGAGGCAGGCAGATCTCTGGGAGTTCAAGGCCCGGCTGGACCGACAGCCTCCAAAACAATACAGAGAAACCCTGTCTCATAAAAACAAAACAAAAAAACAAAACAAAACAAAAAACACAATTGGCTGTAGTCCGATCTCTTTTAGCTTCTCCTAGATTATGGATTTCTTATGTGAATTTCATTCTTTCAGACAATGACTGTCTTTCATGGTTCACTCTGCCAGACTGTTCCTTCCCATCACCTCTGGCCGCTCATGCTGATTTCTTTGCCTCCCCACTGAGGGCGTCCCTCTGGAGGACTGACTGGAAAGGACAGCACCCTGCTCTGAACTCTCCAGTCCTTTCAAGGTGTCACTCCGAGGACACGTCTTATGTCTACGCTGGGTGACAATGAGGCCCTAACATCTTCTCTGCCCTGCTGGGTCACAGTTCTCTGCAGAAATGTGCCAACACATTAAAGGTGCATAGGCCAGTGGGTAAGCGGGTGGCTCTCCAGCGTTTGCTTGAATGGGGGACCCCCTTTCCCTCCAGATGACCCCTGTGCCCTTATAGCCACGTGGGACTACAGCTAACACAACATGTAGGTCAGACTTGGTAAGAACTGCCCCCTCATAGAGGACTCTGCAAGAACAGTAGTTACTCAGGTGTTTAAGAAAGTCTGGAAGTGGCTTACTGATTAGGCAGCTGCAAGTAAAATGACTGTGTCTAATACTCACAGAGAAGAGTAACCACTGTGAGTGTGGTCAGAAGTATCTTACTCAACACCAGTGAAGCTAGCATCCCATCAAGAAACCACAGGATCTGGCCGGGCGGTGGTGGTGCACGCCTTTAATCCCAGCACTCGGGAGGCAGAGGCAGGCGGATCTCTGTGAGTTCGAGGCCGGGCTGGACTGACAGCCTCCAAAACAATACAGAGAACCTTGTCTTGAAAAACCAAAAAAAAAAAAAAAAAAAAAACAGGATCAGTGGCCCACAGGACCCTCCCCTCAAGTCAGAACACACCGCTTTAAAGGAAAAGGGAGAGCGAGCAGGAAGGAGGGAAGAGAAAGGAGAGCAAGAGTTCTGGGGAACTGAAGCACACACGCACACTGACTCTCACACACTCAAATACACACATACTCAAACACACACTCATACATACACACACATATACACTCAAACACATACACACTCACACACACACATGCGCATGCATGCACACCCGCATTTGTGGACTATTCCTTGACCTGCAGAGCTTTCTCATGTGATTAGATAAAGGGTATCTCCAAGCTGTGCTCAGACATGAAGAGTACTCCTCCTAGGTACAACACGAAACTAGCAAGTACAGACAAGGCCTTGGCCCTTAGCTACCCCCTTAATGAGTACATCCTTCAGGGGGGATCTCACTGTGCTGCCAGCTGTGTTGAAGAAGGCCAAGCTGGTTACAGAATTATGGAGGAAGGGGGCTGTCACTTGGCCAACACCATCCCACAGACCCCAGCCCCAGCCTCCTCTCTAGAGCCCTTTCTCTGAACCTGGAGAGGCTGAGTATCCTTCTGGCTTCCTGCTAGTGTGATGTGACTCCTGCTGTAATAAAAACTGAGAATCTAGGGCTTTAGAAAGAACAACACCCAGAAAGATCTGAGCATCAGCTGCTGTTACTGTGCTACCAGAGCTCCGGGTGCAGGCTTCTCCTGTCATCCAACGAAAACCCCACCCATGAAGGAACCATGGCTGATCTGGAAACTACAGCCCCTTCCTGCAGTTTTGTCTGCCGGGGAATGCGTGAAAGAGGCAGGTAAGCAGACAGATAAAATCCTTAGCTCTCTGCAGATCATCTTGAAGGCAAGGTCCCAGGGGAGTCTACAGGGAAGCCTTTTCAAGGAGAAGTTCTTGCTCACAAGGACGTGGGAGCAGCAGTCTGGGTCTTTAAGTTCAGCCAACAGTAACAAGAGAATGACACTGGAGATTGTCAGGTGACATCAACCCAAAGGCTCTGAAAGGCTGGTGGCTCCTCAGGTGTTAGTCCAGCTGGACTCCCTCCTCATCCCACGCTCTTCCTGATGTCCATGTTCTGACACTGGAAAGGGGGTGCAGAGCAGGACTTCTGTAGATGGTTGGAAGGAAAGAAGGAACGATCTGGACTTTGACTGACCTGAAAAGATGTGAGAATATCCCTTACTGGGCCTTAACTTTCTTGTACGTACAATTCCAGAAACACAAGCTACTCATCATGCAAATATTTATCTAGGACTTGAATGCTTTGTGTCAGAGCCTGGGAACGGTGATGAACATGCGATCATTCATCTTCAGAGCTTAGGTGTCCCCTGGAGATGGGAGGGTAACCGCAGTAAAGTAGGGGAGGTTTTCCCACGGAGACACAGTGATTGACTTTCTGTTTTGAGTCTGTCCTGTCTTGCCATGCCTGTGATAGCCGGATGTTATATAGCATGGGGCCTCTCTCTGCATTTTTTATTTGTTTGATTACCGCATTTAGAACACAGTGCTGGACACATAAGACTCTCAGAATGGACAAGGCAGCAGCATGCTGGTAGAATAAGGAGGAAGCCTAGAGATCTGCTGACCTAAAATCTCTGAGGATAAAATACCCTTATTAGGAAAATGAGGCTGTGTGTGGAGACGTACCCTCAAGGAAGGAGGCATGAGACATGTCTCATTCTTCTACCTAAGAGCATTCATCGGAGATAGTAAAATGTTAGTGGCTATGTGAGAAATTTCAAACCACAAATGAGCCTCAAGTATTCTGCCGTTTAGTCACAGAATTGGCAAAATTTGCACAAGTGAACTTAGGTGAACAGTCAATGGAAAGGGACCCAAGAGAGTCTAACATTCCTGAAATTGCATATGTGCTAGTGCATATGTGTGGAGCCCGGAAAGTGGGGAATTGGCCTCCTGTGGTCCCCTCGGGTCAACACTCCCGCTGGAGAAACCTGCTCACCTCACTGCTGCCTTCTTCCCCTCTGAACAACTCAGGCTGCCTTGAGACGTCTAAAGACACCAACCTCCCAAGGGTGCATTCTTACGGAGAAATACGCTTGGGAAGCTGAGATGCCCCTCTGCATATCTGGAAGGCAGCCTTGGAACTAAGACTTGCCTGCTGATATCGACTCTTAGACCACTATTTTAAAAGCTAAGACCTGAAGGGCCTGTACTGTTTTTCTTGTTGCTGCGACAAAATACCCAACAGAAGCAATCCAAGGAGGAAAGGGTTGATTCTGGCTCCCAGTTTGAGGGCACAGCTCGTCACAGCAGGAAGGCATGCTGGAAGCACAATGTAGCCGCTGCTCATGCTGCATCTGCCATCAGGGGAACAGAGCAATAGATAGCTGGCCCTCCACTGGCTCCAGTCCAGAACTGCAGCCCTTTGATGGTTCCACCCGTGTTTAGAGTAGGTCTTCCCACACTTCGTTTAACCCAGTCTAGAGACTGGCTTATAGCCATGTCCAGAGGTTTGCCTCCTGGATTCTAGATCCTGTCAAGTTAATAATCACGAGGAGAGGAGGCAACGGATCAGGGACTCGTTTATCTTGATATCAGACCAGTTCAAAGAAACTCACAATGCTGTGCTTCTGAGGGGCCGGTGAGGCTACCTATCCTTGCTGTTCCTGGGACCCAACAGTCTAGTGGGGAGAGTAAGCTCTGGTGTAGAAACACCTGAGACAGAAGAGAGTTGGCTGTGCTTAGGGTTCTAGAAGGAATTGGGGGTCCTTGGAAAATACAAGACTCCTCCATGTTCTCTAAGCCTGTATGAACAGGGAGCCATCTCAGCAATTACCGCCTGATGCTGATAGTTTTCCACTCCCCAGTGTCCCCAGGATAGCAGCCTCTTCCTATTCTGTCTGGTTAATCAGTGCTCACAGTAAGCCCCACCCTCAGCACACACAGCCCAACAGTCCACAGGGTTCCTCCTCACCCTGCCTGTCTCAGTACACACCAGGGTCTGTGTGAATTCTCAGAGGGTAGCAGGCTTCGCTTGGCTAGTAACTCTTCTTAGCAAGTTGTGTAATATGGTGGTTGTGCGGCCCCTTACTCTACTTATAGCTACACACATGCTTCATTTGTATAGTTTTGGTTTGGATCTCTGTCATTTGTCAGAGTCTCTCACAAATTTTGAAAAATTAATTCAAAAAGTGAGAAAGAAAAACAGTGAGGAAAATGCTCTCTCTCTCTCTCTCTCTCTCTCTCTCTCTCTCTCTCTCTCTCTCTCTCTCTCTCTCTCTCTCTCGCCCTGTGCTTCAGCAGGAAATGCATTTCTGACACTTTGAAAATGAGCAATCACATGTATAATCAACTTGGTTAAAACTTCCTTCCTGGTAACTGCAACACTTCCTCTGCATCTGGATATGAAGGGAGCCCCAGAAAAGCAGAAGAGCCGCGAGGTGCCCTGGGTAGGTTTGAATTTGTTTTGTTTTTATGAACTAAACAAATGACTCTTCGGCTCCACCGCCTCCAGAGCTGTGTCAGGTACTACTGCTTTCTATTGTTTGCTTTGTTAGTTCTGACTCGGGACAGTCACACTTCCTTCTCAGCTAGAATATTTTTATCTGGAACCGTTGCCAGTTCAAGATGAGCCCACCCCCTGAATGTCTGAGTTTCATTGTCTCACTCAGTTTAGACTGTGTATCCACAGGGTTCCGGCAAGGGCTTGCAGGTGCATCGGCTCTTTCTGGTTTTGTTTGTAAGGAAGGGGGTGGCTTCAGAGCCCATAACAGGCAGGGTTCATAGTCTTACAAGTACTTGCCTGAGGATTACTACACAGACAGTGCTTTGTTTTTTGTTTTGTCTTCTTTTTTACGAGGACAAAGCTGCTTAGTCCCAGCCATGAGGAAAACCAGTGAGTATTTGGTCAGTCTCTTTTCTTCTACACTTTGTATCATGATATAGTATGATTTCTTGGTGTCACTGTGACACATCTTACTGAATTATATCTGTACACTTAAATAGGACATGTTCTATTTTAAGTTCATGTCAGTATCAATATTGCATATGGTTCTTTTGTTAGCTATTCTACAATGTAGCAAAAGACTACAATAATTCTTTAAGCTACAGAAACCATTGTTTGGGACAGTTGGTTTCATTTATTTACTAAGTATAACATCAATATATTTTAAGAGGAGTGAGTATTGATTTTAAAAATAACAACTTGAGAGTTGGACATAAGTTGAGATCCAATGAAGCTGTCTTTTATAACTTGTAATCAAACTCTCCTCTTTTGTATATAGCAAATATTCCACTGTTCTTTAGGAAAAAGCTAATTATAGATCTCATTGACATAAGTTAGAGAGTAAATGGCATTTTCTGAAATATTTTGTTTCAATATTTGAATGTGGTTTAGAGTGTAATGCAGTACCAAGGTAGCAAAGTGTTTTATGATTCATTTTTCAATTTTAGTACTCCAAGCATTTCAGTCATTATTGATGAGTTTCTTAGTGGAAGAGATAATATTTACTCATAAATGCTTTGTAAATACTTGTTAATTGTTAAATATTAAATAAGGACAAATACTTATTAAATATTTGCAGAAAGAAATATGAGAAAAATAAATTTGTGATTTTCTGACACAGAGATGAACAAAAAGAAAATAAATTATTGCTTAGGGTCTAAACAGTAGGTCATTGGAAGGCAGAAATCATATCGTCTACCTGTGGCTCCTCTGTTTAAAGCAGAGGCAGGTCAAATCGACTGACTCAGTTAAAATGACCTAGAAGTTCATATTGGCAAAGTCCAGGTGTGATGATTCCTCTACCCTAATACAGAATGATAGCTAGAATGTTCCACATTCCACAACTTAAAATGTTACGTGTCTCCAAGTGGCTTTGATTACAGCCTTTGCCAACTTTGCTATTTTTGAGTGTTATGAATGAAATGACTGACTCTCTTAAATAGAAAGAAAAAATGAAAAGGGTAAAAGACAGGAAGTTGACTAAGGAGAAGAAGACTCTGGGTTCAGACAGTTCGAAAATAGAGAAGATGAAGCAAGATTGGGTGTCTGTGTTAGAGAAGTGTGAGACTAAAAAAGGAAATACGTTGGCTTGTTTTTCAAGTGCTGTTCAGGGTCTCACACTGAGCCCAGGAAACTAGGACTTCACCCTTGATTGGATTGCTTTACCTGTCCATGTGTTTCTAGGTGCTTACAGTTACCATTCTGAGCCAGTAAATGTCGGACACTGGAAAAAAGTTGGACCCTATGCTAGATGAGTTTCTTACATGTTTTTGTGCACACGTGTGTGAGTGCAGCACATGTGGGCAGGCACGCCTGCAGAGGCCAGAGAGAACGTGCTTCACTCTTCCTTTCAGACAGGTCGCTCACCGAACCTGGAGCTAAGCTGATGACCAACAAGGCCCAGTAATCTCTCCCATCTCTGCTCTCCTTCCTTCCAACATATACATACACAGACAGACAGACACCACATAGGCCCATGGGGGCTTCTGGGGGCGGTAGGATGTGAACTCAGGACCTCATGTTCGTACAGCAAGCACTTTTATCCATTAAGCCATCTCTACGGTCCCAAGGTGCTTAGCAAATTTCTAATTAAACATCACACACACACACACACGCACGCACGCACGCGCGCGCACGCACGTACACACACATGAGAAAATGCGCCTGTGCTGGCATGTATGCATCACCCAACCAAAAGAAGTATCCTGCCTTATTTAACGTTTGCCTCCACCCACTACGTGTAAGTAACCAAACTGCCAGATAAAGAGGTTAAGGAGGCCAGGTCACCCAGACAGCAAGTGGCTGGCCTAGGACTATGCTGTTAAAGACAGTGCTGCCTCCAGCTCGCTGGGTCCCTCAAGGCTCCCATTACCCGCTGCACCTTCTCTCAGCCAGCATACAGGAATCTACAGTCTGTCTCCTGACAAAGTGTTTCTGCATTCCCAGGTTGCTTAGGGCATGGAGCTGGGGAACTATGAGCAGCCCGTGGTTCTAAGAGAGGACAACCTCCGCCGGCGCCGGAGGATGAAGCCACGCAGCGCCGCCGGCAGCCTGTCCTCCATGGAGCTCATCCCCATCGAGTTCATCCTGCCCACCAGCCAGCGCATCAGCAAGACTCCAGAGACAGCGCTGCTGCACGTGGCTGGCCACGGCAACGTGGAGCAGATGAAAGCCCAGGTGTGGCTGCGCGCCCTGGAGACCAGCGTGGCTGCCGAATTCTACCACCGGCTGGGCCCGGACCACTTCCTCCTGCTCTACCAGAAGAAGGGACAGTGGTATGAGATCTACGACAGGTACCAGGTGGTGCAGACCCTGGACTGCCTGCGCTACTGGAAGACGATGCACAAGAGCCCCGGCCAGATCCACGTGGTGCAGCGACATGCGCCGTCGGAGGAGACCCTGGCGTTCCAGAAGCAGCTCACCTCGCTGATTGGCTACGACGTCACTGACATCAGCAACGTGCACGACGATGAGCTAGAGTTCACTCGCCGCCGCCTGGTCACGCCTCGCATGGCAGAGGTGGCTGGCCGTGATGCCAGACTCTACGCTATGCACCCTTGGGTGACGTCCAAACCTCTCCCCGACTACCTGTCCAAAAAGATCGCCAACAATCGCATCTTCATCGTCATCCACCGCAGCACCACCAGTCAAACCATCAAGGTCTCCGCAGACGACACCCCTGGCGCCATCCTCCAGAGCTTCTTCACCAAGATGGCCAAGAAGAAGTCCCTGATGGACATCCCCGAGAGCCAAAGTGAGCAGGACTTTGTGCTGCGGGTCTGCGGCCGCGACGAGTACCTGGTGGGAGAAACGCCCCTCAAAAACTTCCAGTGGGTGAGGCAGTGCCTCAAGAACGGGGGTGAAATACACCTGGTGCTCGACACGCCCCCAGACCCAGCCCTAGACGAGGTAAGGAAGGAAGAATGGCCGCTGGTGGACGACTGCACCGGGGTCACCGGCTACCACGAGCAGCTGACCATCCACGGCAAGGACCACGACAGTGTGTTCACGGTGTCCTTGTGGGACTGTGACCGCAAGTTCAGGGTCAAGATCCGAGGCATTGACATCCCAGTCCTGCCCCGGAATGCCGACCTCACCGTTTTTGTGGAAGCGAACATCCAGCACGGGCAACAAGTCCTTTGCCAGAGGAGAACCAGCCCTAAGCCCTTCACGGAAGAGGTGCTCTGGAATGTGTGGCTGGAGTTCGGCATCAAAATCAAAGACTTGCCCAAAGGTGCCCTGTTGAACCTCCAGATCTACTGCTGCAAAACGCCAACACTGTCCAGCAAGGCTTCTGCAGAGACGCCAGGCTCCGAGTCCAAGGGCAAAGCCCAGCTTCTCTACTATGTAAACTTACTGTTAATAGACCACCGGTTCCTGCTACGCCACGGGGACTACGTGCTCCACATGTGGCAAATATCCGGGAAGGCGGAAGAGCAAGGCAGCTTCAATGCTGACAAGCTCACATCTGCAACCAATCCCGACAAGGAGAACTCAATGTCCATCTCCATCCTGCTAGACAACTACTGCCACCCCATAGCCCTGCCTAAGCATCAGCCCACCCCTGACCCGGAAGGAGACAGGGTCCGAGCTGAAATGCCCAATCAGCTCCGCAAGCAACTGGAGGCGATCATAGGCACAGATCCACTTAACCCCCTCACAGCAGAGGACAAAGAACTGCTCTGGCACTTTAGATATGAAACCCTGAAGCATCCGAAAGCGTACCCTAAGCTATTCAGTTCAGTGAAATGGGGACAGCAAGAAATTGTGGCCAAAACATACCAGCTGTTAGCCAGAAGGGAGGTCTGGGATCAAAGTGCTTTGGATGTTGGCTTAACCATGCAGCTCTTGGATTGCAATTTTTCAGATGAAAACGTAAGAGCCATTGCAGTTCAGAAACTGGAGAGCTTGGAGGACGATGATGTCTTGCATTACCTTCTCCAGCTGGTGCAGGTAGGCGCCGGTGGCATCAGTGGGAACCCTGTCTCAGAGAACGTGTTTGCATGCGCACAGGAGCCCTCGGTAGTGATCCCATATCCTGTGTTCAGGTTCATGATCTGTCAGACTGGAGCTGATGACGGCTCGTCAGAAAGCGTTGACTTTTTTTATGTCTTTGAGGCTTTGCTAGCAAGCATTTAAAAGACACCAGTACTGTCCTTCACATTTTAGGAGAATTGCCCCAGTGGGAATCACATTGTCCTTATTGATTATTTCAGTGATGGACTGAACTTGTTGCAAGCGTCCTTGCGCCAAAGCTCCAAGTGATGTGTGTGTGTGTGTGTGTGTGTGTGTTGGGTCATTTGATTCCACCAGTAACTATGATGGTGGTCAATTAGAATTTGGATTTGCATTTTATGCATATGGAAACTGAGATACAGGAGACTAAGTTATGTGTTCAATACTACATATTAAAAAGAAATGAACCAGAATTAGAGGTCTGATTAGCCCAGGTTTTATCATTTTCACAATCAACAAATATCCTGCATAAATCTAGTGGCAGGATAATGCAGACTAGAAAAGTGTTAATCTCTGTGTTTATCACAGTTCATAGGACAACATGTCATATCTCTGGGTAAAATCTTTTAAAAGCTTTTCTTTATTCTTGAGAATTTTAAACAGGTCTACATTGAAATGTGGTCATATATACCCCCTAGTTCCTCTTCAAATTATCTTCCTGTCCTTATTAATGTATCTTCTTCTCAAGTTAATGTCCCTTTTTTCTAATAACTGATGAGTGAAATTATCACTATCTACATGTATGTGGGTGTGGGGCCATCCCCTGGAGCATGGAATCTTACCAGTGGCCACATCTTCCAGAAAGCATGACTTCTCCTATCCTACCAACTCTCCATTGCCAACAGCTCCTCAGTAAGCAGTGGGCCTAGAGATCCCCCCCCCATGACCGAACTTCAGTGCAGGCCTCAACTGCTCTGTGAGTTCATGATGGCTTTGAGGCCTGCTCCACAGGTACTGTGATCCTGGTCAAAGGCCTAGAGCTGGGGAAATCATAGGGTAGAGCTTGCTATTGTTTTGCTAAATGGTTGGGCTGGGTAGAATCTTGACAGTGGCCCTCTTTAAACATACATAGGACTCAGTTCCCATGATGCTCCCTGTGGTCCTGCGGGGTCAGAAATACACTTGCAGTGTATCTGGGTTGGTAAAAAACTAATGAGTTTTAGTAGTTCTCAACTTATGTTCCTTGACAAAGGAAAGGAAAGAAAGATGAGCTAGAAATTATAGTAAAGCATAGATGTGCTCATTCCTTAGTTCAACAACTTCTTCAGTAAGAAGACAAATGCTCTAGGTTTGCTGCAGTGCACACACACACACACACACACACACACACACACACACACACAGTGTTTAATAGCAAATTATGATAAGGGCTCTGGGAAAACCGTAGAGTACTATGAGTTAATAGGGGGTCAGGTGACACTTAATTTTGATTAATGTATCTAGGGAAAGTTCTGAGTAGGTAATACTTGATTTGACATTTTTATTGTCATTTTCCAAGATAAACTTTGCAGAATTCAAAGATGAAAAACATTTTTCTTGGAAATATTTTTGAGTGAAGGAAGTCAATCAGTCTTATTAATATTGAATGTGAGAGCTTAAATTTAAAGAGAAGTGTTTGTTGTGCAGCAAATTCAAACATTCAAACTCCAACTGAATGACTCCCTGTTGGTTAAAATGGTCTCTTGGTTACGATCTGCATCATTGTAGAAGTGAAACACAAAGAAAGACCAGCTCTAGGGTTAGAAACTTAACACATTTAAAATGAGTTCTGTTGGCTGAGAAACCACATTCTCAGAACTCGTCTGAAACTCAGCTTCTATGGCACCTACTTGATCACACCCAAGAGAAGCACTTTTGAAGGGGGGCTAAGATTGAAACATTATAAGGTCAGCATTGATCAGGTCAAACTGGGTACCCAGAGTGAGAGCTGTGAGCATACCAAGAATACTTCAGACTCCGAAATACATGCTGGAGTGAAGCATCTTCTGTTCCTTGGGGGAAAAGAATGACCATTTAGTTAATTTTAGACTTGCATACATTACCTACCTTCTAGCTTAATATATGCATTGATAGATTAATTAAATGGTATTTGTTGCTTTTAAAACTATTAACTATTTCAAGCTTATTGAAAAATAAAACATGAAAATAAGCATGAACCCACAAAGATTCCTTTACTTTTCCAATTTGATTGGTGATTGTTCTTCAGTAATAAAGCTGTGATTTTCCTTGTCAACATCCAACCCGGAACCAACATTGTAAAAGCAATCAAACACTAGCAGTGAGGGTCAGGTTCTGCTTGAGGGAGTATAGACACCCAGAGATATTTGACAAAAAGCTCTGCACACAGACAGAAGGGGGGTCGCCACAAAGGGGGACTGCAGGGCGATAGGATCTTCACACTTGGCACTTCTTGGAATCTAATGTTCTTCTGTTAAGTACTGTTGATGCCGCCCGTTTCCTTTGCAATGAGCTCTCTTCCCTTCCACTTTAAAAAATCATTAGAGCCCTGCCTACCTCTCCCCTTCCAATAACCCATTTCGTTCTACCTTGGAACAAAAGCCTTTGCAACTTCAGCATTGCCGTTACCCTGATCACAGCACTGAGCATCAGGAGTCCTTCGGCCCATTTGGTCCCCTTCTAGTCTAGGAGGCTACGCAATGGCCCCATCCTCAGTGTCCACCAAAGGAGGGGCTGGAAGGGAGTGGCTGGGGAGAGTCTCACCACCTAGCTGAAAGATCCACTTGCCCAGAGTCGTGCTTTTTACCCACTTCCTTTCTCCTGACTGACCACCAATGGCTACAACTCTTCAAATGCTCATGTGTTCTTCCTTCAGGCTGTGAAATTTGAACCATACCATGACAGTGCCCTGGCCAGGTTCCTGCTGAAGCGTGGCTTGAGAGTAAGTATGTCTGCCTTGATAGCAGCATGACAGTTTAGGCTACCAGGAATTGCCTGATAAACCTGCAGCATTAGTCCTCATGATCTCAACCATCTTGTACCCATCTCAGAACAAAAGGATCGGTCACTTCTTGTTCTGGTTTTTGCGAAGTGAGATAGCCCAGTCCAGACACTATCAGCAGAGGTTCGCTGTGATCCTGGAAGCGTACCTGCGGGGCTGCGGCATGGCCATGCTGCAGGACTTCACACAGCAGGTCCAAGTGATCGAGATGTTACAGAAAGTCACCATTGACATCAAATCACTCTCTGCTGAGAAGTATGACGTCAGTTCCCAAGGTACAGTGGCTACATTTTCTCAGTTCTCTTTCTAAATGCTGTGATCACTATGATTCTTTCTGGAATTCAAGTTGTATTTTGCTAAAGGCAGCCAAGAAAACAATTTTTTTGGTCTCTTGTCTGCATGAAGTAGATTTAAAGCTCTGCTTCTGCAAGATGTGATGTTTTAAGACCATAAATTCGTATGCTCTTAAAAAATGAAGCTATACATATGAAATTTGGAGAAATTGAAGAACCATATGTGGATGGAAGATGTAATTTTCAATGGCAGTTTCACATATGAAAGGTTATTTCCAAATCCTCTCCTTTTCCTGTCTTTGAATCTGTTCCTGCTGATCTCAGATTTTCAGAATATTGAGAGGGTAGCTGATTTTAAAACTTTATAACATACATATGTTTATATCTCAGAATAATACTCTCTCTCTTCCTCTCTCTTCTCTCTTTCCTCTCTCTCTCTCCTCTCTCTCTCTCTTGTCTCTCTCTCTCTCACACATACACACACACACACACACACACACACACATCTCCTCCTCCCTGTAGCCATTTCCAATATCTTGTCTCTGCTCTAGGAAAATTAATCACTCTTGTAAGGTTTTGATACCACATGAAATTGTCATCATTAACACATCTTTCTGGCATGATAAACTGTATGAAGCTTGTGCCTAGTAAATATCTTTTACTCACTTAGTAAGCTGGACTCAGCACTATAGCTTAAAATAGACACTAACATCCCTGCCCAGTTATTTAAGCTTTTGAATATTTTAAATTGCAAGCCTTCCCTTTTGATTGTTTTCTAGTACAATAACATGCTACCCTCTAAAGTCTTACATATGGACTGGCCTCTTTCCTGTTACCCAGGCACTAATCTGTACTCTGTGTGTTTTGCCTGGAGAATTTTGAGGTTGCCACATCTTTTGTACATAAGCTAACTTCCTCTTTTGAGAAGAATTTACAGAACTCTGTCTAACCCAACTCTATTTAATTGTGTCTAAACATCTACTCTAAAAACCAGATGGCCATTGAAAGTCTCAGGCTGGAACTCCTGGAATCCAGTTAGAGAGAGGGAGGAGTGATGAGCAAAGGGGTCAAGACCAGGCTGGAGAGACCCACAGAAACAGCTGACCTGAACAAGGGGAAACTTATGGTCCCCAGACTGATAGCTGGGAAACCAGAATAGGACTGGTAGGTGTCAGTTAGGAGGCCTGAGCAATCTATGGGGCCTCTGGTAGTGGGTCAGTATTTATCCCTAGTATACGAATGGGCTTTGGGAGCCCATTCCACATAGAGGAATATTCTCCCAGCCTAGACACACAGGGAGGGTCTAGACCCTGCTCCAAATGATATGACAGATTTTGAAGATCCCCCATGGAAGGCCTCACCCTCCCTGGTGAACAGAAAGAAGATGGGATGGGGGGGTCGGTGGAGGCTCGGGAGGAGAGGAAAGAGAGGGATCTGGGATTGACATGTAAAACAAGCTTGTTCCTAATTTAAATAAAGAAGTTTTTTAAAAAGCAAATAAAAGTGAAGTCTAGAAGTTTTAAGAAAAGAAAAGAAAGTCTCAGGCTAGGAAAACGACCGCAGTGTTAGCGCCTTAGACTCCCTCCCAGCATGTCCTACCCTGCTGTTCTCATGAGTGTTCACACATATCCTCTGCCTTGCAGGGGCATTTCCAGTTAAGTTCCTCACAGTAGTCCTGACTTACTGGTCTGCTCATGGTTAGACCCCCAAAGGTACAGCTCTGTAGCCCTTTTCCTACTACTATTTTCCAAACCAAAGACATAGAATATTAAGGAAATGCAAACTCAGGTTATGTTGAGATAGTAGATAGTCTGATGTCTTGTGCTCACTTAACTTCTGTATGCTTTTGACAATTGCAGTTATTTCACAGCTTAAGCAAAAGCTTGAAAACCTGCAGAATTCCAGTCTCCCCAAGAGCTTCAGAGTTCCCTATGATCCTGGACTGAAAGCAGGCACCCTGGTGGTAAGTATCAGCGGGTTGTCTATGTTCCTTATGTCTCACCAGCGTCTAGCATGCTTTTCAGAGTCAGGGCCTTCACCAGGACCTTCTGAAGACACAGGAAGCTGGAGCACCCCCACGGGCTTCTGTCAAGCCCTTCTCTAATCACTAACACACAACACCCCATTACTTAGCAATTCCCCTTTTATTGCGTTTTAAATCAGCTTACTGGTATATTCTTTACATAAACAGTTGTCTGTAGCATGAATTCAGTGAGCTTTTACACATAAGTACTTCTGTTCAACCACCAGCAAAATCAAGTTACTCAACATTCTTTTAAACAAAAATATATGTGTAGCTAAATAGATTAAGCCATTTTATACATTTGCCCACATATCATGTGGGCACTCTCTCAATACCACTCTTCTTGGATCTTTAGTAATTTATCCTACAAGCTGTTGGCAATACCATCTTTCAGAACTTAGCTGAAATGTTTACTATGCACTTGTTTTTTGTTTACTATGCGATTGTTTTTTCACTAGACATTTTTCTCTTGCAGTACGATTTTTTTCTGGTTTGCCTATGTCCCAAAGAGAATACTCTGGCTTTGTCTTTGATGCTCCATTTATGATATGGCCTTTTTCCACTGTTTGTTTCCAGATTTCTTTCCTCCCTGGTTTTCAGCAGGTTGACTATGGTGTGTGTTGGCACAAGTTTCTTGCGTAAAGCTCCAGGCCATGTTGCTCCTTAGACTTGTGGGCATCAGCTCTATTACACTTGGAGATTGTTGGACTACTATTATTTCCTCTCACCCTCTTCTGTCCTCTCTTTGAGACTTGAGTTGCTATACTGTAGACTGCTAGTCCATAAACTCAGAACGGGCACCTTTTCTCCATACTTTAACCAAGAAAGAGCCGCAGCAGTAAGCCGAAACAGCTTCATCTATCTTCTTTGCTCAGGGACCACAGGGTTCCATCATCTGTCATCTAGTGTCTGACAAGAGTGATCCATGTGTTTTTCCTGGTCTAGTTGCTTACAGGGCAGAAATGCCCGCATCAGTTAAATCTCATGAAAAGAAGGAGAAACACCTCCTTCACATCTTTAAGTTTATACAGTTACTAGTAAGGTGGCCTCATAGCAAAAGCACATACAATCCACTGTCACTGGTTAGGTGGCAGCAGAAATTATGATATATCGATGCAGCTTTCCAACTGTGGCTTTAAAAACACAACATCATATTTTATTTCTTTCTTTTTATGTTGTGTGTGTGAATATGTTACCTGCTTGCCATGTATGTGCAGTGCCTGAGGAGAGCAGAATAGAGTGGTGGACCCCCTGAAATTGGAATTACACACTCTGGTGAGCTGCCCTGTGTGAGCGCTGTGAGCCAATCCCAGGTCCTCTGCAAGAGCAGGGCTCTTGGCTGCTGAGCCATCTCTCCAGCCCCCGCAATATATTTTTGATCCATGGTGCATTCACTTTTGACAAAAAACCAGAAAAGTTAGGTTTGGGCTTATGACTTCTGTCACACTGCTTTGTTTTGATATGGGGTTGGGAGGAGTGGGCTGGGAGTCCTGTGCCCAAGTACCAGATCTCCCATCTCTTCCTGCTAACTCTCCCTGAGTTGGATTTGCCCTACATTGATTCTTGAGTAATAATATTTCAGACACTGCGGCAGCCCTAGAACTCATCTTTCAAGTTAAACCTCAGGCAGGGAATGCAGAAGCAGATGCTAGCATACGTGCTCAGAGCTAGTGGTGGTCATTACCAGTGCCCTGGGAGCAGGGTGAGGTGGTCCCTGCTGCACCCAGGGGCTTTCCACAGACCCTTAGAGTCCCTTGGAGTATAGTCTGAGAGCCATTGTTTGAAAGATTGTGAATTCTCTCACATAGATAGCATTTTCTGTTTAGATGAAAACACCTTCTGTATTCTTATCCAAATATTGAAAATTATTTCTCAACCAGGACTTTGCACTGTGTACAGAATGCTCTACACAAGGATCAGTGCCTCCTCGGTGTGTATTCATCATATGTGATATTGTAACCACTTCTTGCAGATTGAAAAGTGTAAAGTAATGGCCTCCAAGAAAAAGCCCCTGTGGCTTGAGTTTAAATGTGCTGATCCTACAGTCCTATCCAATGAAACCATTGGGATCATCTTTAAACACGGCGATGATCTTCGTCAAGACATGTTGATCTTACAGGTAGGCTAGTGTGAAGAAACGGGTTCTTTTGCAGTCATCTGAAGAAAGAATTCTGTATTGGTCTGAAACATGCCTTCCTTTCCATTTTCCCCATATGACAAACAGCAATCAAAGGCTACTTAATGGAGAGTTTTACTTGGTGAATGTTGCTGTGGATCATTACACATGTCATCTAATGAGCAACACAGTTCCCTCCATCCTTTCAAAGATGAGTACTCAACAATCCCCAGCAGCCGAATCACCTGCATCACTCGGCCCCTAAGCACTCCATTCCATGCATGGTGCACAGGCTGTGGGATGACCTGCTCACAGTCCCCGGTTTATCCCGGTTCACAGACTTACCAGCCCGCCAGTAGGCGTGCGTACTCCTTAAATACGTCCCCTTAGGTACTCATGCGCAAGTTCCAGGAGGTTGTATACAAAGGAGGAAACAGTGAGCAGGCCGGTGATGGAGTGATCTCACCAATGAATGATGAGGGGAGGAAGTGAACGTGGAAGGTATCAACACCCACAATTTTCAGAATTTTTTAAACATTTCCATGTAGACTTTAATTCCACAAGTTGCTCTCCAACTTCTAGTGCCTCATCATAGAAGAGGGAAAAGTTTCTAAAACCTAATATTATTTAGAATAGAGAAAGCATACTAAGTTAAAGGCAGGCTATTTAAAAACAGTAGTTTCAGCTTTCCTTAAGATTCTGTTTTGACTTATTTCTAATACATTGTTCTGTTGTTGTTGTCATATTTTGTTTTCTGTCCAAGAAAGATTTTGTAAAATAAAAAATGAATTATTTAGTCCTTTAAAATATGAATTTAGTTTTAAGTAATCTGTAGAATCTTTTGAGTTTGCAAAGATAAGCATTTCAAAGTCACAAAAAAAGTTGCTTTCCTGTTCCTCTAATTCTGAAGGACAGTTGGTGCTTAGACTGTTTTATTGTTGGAGCTCACTGTTTACTGAAGCTGTCTAAGCCATTACCCTCTGAATGGAAACAATAATTACACTCCAGATACAAGGTTAATACAAGAACATAGAAGAACAACCAGCTAATGTTTGGTATTAATAGCATCGCTAATGATTTTACTGCCTTGGTTGTAGCAGATAGTTTTGCAGATATCAGAGTAGTAAACACATAAAAGGACATTACATTTGTGGGGAAACATACATAACAAAATGGAATTTTTGATAAGATAGAGAAAGGTGGCAAAAACAAAACAAATCAAAAAACCCTTTCCAAGTGAAAACACTTCATTTCTTTCTTTAAGAGATACCCTAGGGACTGAAATTGACACATTAGCAATGGCAGGAAATTTTTGAGTATCAGGCTGATCAATAAAAGTTGAGTTGTTGCTTTGTGTTTTATATTTACTTATATAGTGTGTGTAACCATGTAAGATTCCTGGCTTTTCAAGAGAGAAGAAAAATGCATTGAACAGCTAGTATAGTAGAAGCATCTGTGCTTTGTTTCCCAGATTCTACGCATCATGGAGTCCATTTGGGAGACTGAATGTCTGGACCTGTGCCTGCTGCCCTATGGCTGCATCTCAACTGGAGACAAAATAGGTATGTAGTTACATCAGCGGTGCAATGAGCTCACACTCTCAGTGCAAGCATGGCTGGGAAGTTAACGTTAAATCACAAGGTGGAAATGTCCCCAGGGTGCCGAAAGTGACTCTCACTTCAACAGTGACATGTTGAAGACACATGGACACCTGACTGGGACCTGTGACCACACATGGGAAGAACTTGCCCTCTAACTCTCCTCCACCTCTCATCACCGCTCATCACTCTGCACGTTAAGCTTTTCTCTCGCAAATAACATTTAAAATTAGACAGGAAGAACTGTCACTTCTTTTTAAATTCCAGAATTCACATTACTGAAGCTATTACATACTCCACTCAGGTACTTTTATAGGCGTTTAACATTTTCATTTCAACCACACTTATTTTTATTCAAGGTTCTGATATGAGAACCATACAAAACGTTTGGTCATGTTACCTAAAAAGGGGAAGGTAGCAATCACCACGCCAAAAAAAAAAAAAAAAGCTACACTTGGCACGTAAATGACTTTATTTGTTACTCCTCAAAAGCAGCCATTTCCTCTCCTTATTAGGGGATATTGAAGACATATTACATACAACCTCTGTTATTACCTTTCCTAAAAACAAACAACAAAATAGCTCAGAGATGGAAAACAGACCTTTGGCCTAAAAAAACATCAAATAAAAAGCCTCTTGCCCTCAGCCAAGACTGAGCAGCATCAGCCTCGCTGAGCACTGTGACTCTCCCCGTAGGAATGATCGAGATCGTGAAGGATGCCACAACCATCGCTCAGATTCAGCAAAGCACAGTGGGTAACACGGGGGCATTCAAGGATGAAGTCCTGAGCCACTGGCTCAAGGAAAAATGTCCTATTGAAGAAAAGGTGAGTCCTCGCCCCCACCGGAGGCTCACTCCTCAGTCCAGCTTGCCCTCTATCAGTCATGACTTCTGGTGTGGGCAGGCTCTTCCCACGGATGTCTCTGCCTCCCAGAATAGTGGTGATTTCAAGGGTTTTCCCCTGACAACACAGCTGATCTGTGAGACAGAGTGCCTAGTTTGAGACCCAGGAACATTTGCTTCAGTTTTGATTACCAGTCAGGCTTTGCACCGAATTTGTTTCTGTGAAATAGGCTGTTAGCACTTTTATGGCTATTTTTGTGCTTCAACACAAAGATTTAAGTGTCACATATACAATCTTTCATATAAAACAAAATAACTTGCAACTTGCTACTATGGATCCGAGTGGTGGATGACGGGTGTTAAACATGTCCATCTTTCTGGAGGGCACATGCTGTTCCATCACAAACCAGTTGAGCTGTGTTGGTGCTGTTTAAAGTTCTACTGCACGAGAGCAGCGTTTCACGCTTGCATGGGTAGCAGCCTTTGGTAGAGGGAATGTAATTAGTAGCCTTTGTTGATCTGTTACACATGAAGGCTTGTGAAACCATCCATCCACTTACGTGGTCACAAGCAGAGCACAAATGCAGAAATTTCTATGAGTTCTGTACAGTTGTGGGCAAGGAGAGGGTGGGAGCTTTGAAGAAGTTACTGAGGCCTTTTGCTTCTTGGGTCTCCCTCATGTTGTGGTGTTTGGTTAACTCTTCACTGAAAATACAAGTAGAACAGCGTGGCAGTTGGCACTTCCCTGATAGAAAACTAATGAGACTGGCCTTGGCTTGCTGTCTGAAGTGGCTCCTGGAATGCTGTCTTTCTGGTGGGCATCTGTAGTTGACTCTCACTGCTCTCTGTAGCTGGAAAGTGACTGACATGCCTACGCACTCTCGTCAGTTTCAGGCAGCAGTAGAGAGGTTCGTTTACTCCTGTGCCGGCTACTGTGTGGCGACATTCGTTCTTGGAATAGGTGACAGACACAATGACAACATTATGATTTCAGAGACAGGTGAGTTTACCCACAGTAAAATAAAAATTTTATTGTAGTAAAAAATGCATATATAACATAAAACACTCTGTTTTAAGCATTCTTAAGTGTTCATCTAGGTAAGGAGCATAAACAGTCCTATTATTTTGCAGCCATCACTGTTGTCCCTCTGAAGCACCTGTCCTCATTAAACATCACCTCTCCACCACCCCATGCCTCCGGCACAGAGTAAGAGTTCAAGTGGAGCCCAGGCCCAGACGTCATTGTGGATAGGGACACTGGTCACTTTAGACGGAGGATTGATGGGTGAGGGAAGAAGGGGCAGGAAATGAGACTAAAACAGAGAGAGGAAGTTCCAGTGGAGGTAGAAACAGAGAGTCGGGAGTATGTCCTAGAAGCTGGCAATGATAGGAGGGACCAACACTGTCAAATGTTCACAAAAAGCAACTAGGACAAACCATAAAACACAGGACAGATCCTCTGCTCTAGAACACCCGAGTCCCTAGCCCTCTTAGCCTTACTGGTTCATGACAGCAGCCAGTAATGGCCACCATGCAATGAGATGTTCATATGGGGAATTTGAGCACGTTCTTATAGTCTCCCATGGACCATTGTCTGCAAGTCCAGCACTCCAGAGACTGAAGGAGAAGGATCACAAATTCAAAGTTAGCCTGTGCTACACAGATTCTGTCACAGAAGTTATTTTAAGAGTAGAGTTTTTAAAAAGCACTAGATCTTGGAGCCAATTACTTATTCTTTGCAAGAACAGGGTTAACATAAAATAATAGTACATTTGTGGATTACAGAAATGATAAAAGACCAAGTAAATAAGAACTAATGTGGCCCTACTGATAATGTTAGTAAAGAGATTCAAAACGGCATTTCTGTATCGCTGCTTAAAAGTAAAAAGCTAACACCCCACTTGCTGGATGAAAAACAACATCCCTCTATCAGTTACATGAAGACCATGGCATCTCTTAAACATGACCCTCATGTGTTAGCTAGAGTTTAATTGACCTACCTGGAATGCTTTGGACACAACTATTTTTTAATGACACATTTGGTGTCATCTAAAGATTAAGACTATCAAAAGATGCTTGTGGCTTCTGCGGCTTCTGCTTCCACACACGTTAAGACTGAAAGTATCAAAGGCTAATAAGAGTATAAAATGCTTTCACTCAAAATAGTTCATTTCCAGGCAGCTGAAAAATTATTTCAGAAAACAAAATGTTTGTAAGCACTTATGCCATGTAATGATGTCAGGCATCTCTTCTCTTAAGGAAACCTATTTCACATAGACTTTGGACACATTCTGGGGAATTACAAAAGTTTCCTGGGCATTAATAAAGAGAGAGTGCCATTTGTCCTAACTCCAGACTTCTTGTTTGTGATGGGAACTTCTGGAAAGAAAACAAGCCCACACTTCCAGAAATTTCAGGTATGTCACCCCTCTCTTCGTCACCTCCTGTCAATACCAACCAAATACACTGTGGAATTCACCTCTTGCTCCCCTTATGGCATGATCACCTACGTCCTCCTTACCTGCACTGATTGCCCCCAGCACACACAGAACTCACAGGGACCAGCTCACTAAAACCAAGAGCAATGTCCCATAAGGGATGGCCCTGGGTGGTGCCAGTGCTGAGGACAGCTTCAAGAAAGGACAGTCATGGAGACTGAACTGCTCCAGGCTGACTAGAAGACTCAGATCAGGTACGTTTCAGGGCTCACCAAGTGTGAGTTTCACTTGGTTTTTGCTACTGTGTGTGCGTTTGTCATAATGCGAACGGGGAATTCTTTTTGCACACACTGGCTTTGTTGATAGTCACCTTTTCATTGGCAGTCCCATCAGCTGACCACAGGTTCTTATGTGAGCTCTGGAGTCTGCTTGAAAGTGTTCAGATTCAAACACACAATGGGAGCGTCTTATTTGCCAATATAATAACTGTGAGTGAACACCACTCAGAAACATTGTAAGGACACCCATTTTATAACAATGCGAGCACAAAACAGAAACCAAGGGTGATTACCTAAGAAGTCCCTTGGCCTTGGGTGGTCTGCACATCGCCACCTTCTGTAATGTGCCTTCAGTGTGGTTTGAGGTCTCCTAGAGTCCAGCATGACTCTCGGGAGATGCCGTGAGCCTTGAAGTGCAGGGGAGCAGCTACCCATGCGCTGATCTGTGACTGGTGTTCGTGATCCGCTGGCTGGTTGTCTGGAAATGATGAGATGCACCCTTCTGGTCAGACGGCTTTAGGAATGTAGGTGTGTGCTTTTGTGCATACAGTTGGGTTTCAGACAGTCTTCAGGAACTGGACACATTTGGGGGGTCCGGGGTGGAAGAGTTTCACTATTTAAAGAAGGGAAAACACTCAGGTTCACTCTCTTGAGAATGGAGTAGATCTGACTAGCTTTGTGCAGAACATGACAACAGCAATAGTAGCTCAGAGCAGCAAACAAATGCATGGCATTTTACCTCCATTGCGGGCCTCTTCTTTGCAAAAACGCACGGCCTCTTTCTTTTGCCAGTGAGTGATGTTCCCTAGGAGACTGAGCCTCTGTCAGTTGCTGATGACGTCTTCATGAACCACACAGAGTTCATGTCACTCCACCAGGTCCCAGCAGCTCTCTCCTTGTCTTTCTCTGTTGCTTCTACCATTGTTTTTCAGTTTAGAAAGACATTTGTGATGAAAAGATTTTTATAATGAGGAAGCCAGGAGAGGCTCCCGGCCCCTCGGTAATACTTAGTCAATGCAACACCTGTATGGGGAGTGTCCTCAAGTTTGTGTGCTTTGGTCTAAGAGCATTTCTTCATTCTTTGTGCCCAAAGCATGCTTCTTAAGCCACCAACCCCTACCCTGTCCGTCACGCGATATTCATGTAGTGTGTGTCACCCACAGCACACCTCTGTGAGTGTGCTTAACCTCTGTGTTTAGAAGACTGGCCAGCATTTACACTCCTGTGAGTATTACCTACACAGCGGCCAGCACAGGGATCACAGGCGGCCCTGGTGGCCGGCAGACTTGCGTATGCTCCCAGCTGTGTCCAGGCCGACAGCTACTCATCCTTCCAGGGCCTTGCTTTCTCGTCTGTAGAGAAGGACGACGGCCTACTTAGGGTTTTCCTAGGTGCTACTTATTTAGTAGGAATTGAAAAGACAAAGCTTTTATTTAGTTCACAGCTCGGAAGGTTCCAGACCAAGACCATCAACCGCGTGACTCATCGTTGCTGCAGTGAAATCTGCAGAATGATTAGTTCCACAACAGCAGAAACCCTGCTCACACCTTGGAAATGTTGAAGAAACTGTATTTGAAATGAAGGCTTGGACCGCATGTAAAACGTGACAAAGTAGCCTGTTAGGTAGAGATAGCTCTTCACTCTCCTCTGCCTGTCCCCACCCCGCCCCCCTCACCCTCTTCCTCACCTCTTTGAAAAAGTTGTTGTATCTCTGGAGCTACATCCATAAATTCTCAGCAATATCTCAGAGTCTGGTGTAAGAAAGCCACCATGTTTAGGCAAACTAGGAAACATACACATTTGCATTTTGAACTACAGGTCCTTTTGTTAGTTTTGGCCACATGATGAATAGCCTATTAGGCAGGGCAGAGAAAAGATGAGCCACTTTTGTTAAGGTCGAGGTGAGCCTTCTTCATATACAACACAAACGTGAGCCCACAGGACAGTATAGCAATGGGACAAAGAGTTCTGCAGTGCTCCCTCCCTCTGTCCCACCCCCTGCTGTCCGTGGCTACAGGCCTAACCCGGGCTCGAATCCATCAGTTACTTTGGCGGGGTGGCGGGCGGTGGGGGCCTTTAGGGACAAACTGTGATTAGACAAAGACACAAAACTGAGGCTCATCGTTTGAATCTATGAACATCTGCAGCCTCCAGGGCACAGGCATGGGTTAGACGGATTTTAATGATGACAGTTTCCATCCCTTTGACTGACCAGATACTTTTTAAACAAGATACAGAAGTTCCGTGGTGTGCTAAAGAATGGCTTATTTTCTTGTGTTATGACGGTGTGTCCATGCTGCGGCATGTGTGTGGAGCTCAGAGATCAACTCCTGGGGGCCAGCTCTGCCCTCCATCTCAAACCCTGCTTGCCCGGCTTGCGGGCGGGCCAGCACCTCCACTCTTAGCTGTCTCCCCAACACTCCTTCTGTCTTTCAGGGGCTGCAACTCAGACAAAAGCACATCTTTGGCTTCAATGCAGAAAATGCTCTGAGGACAAGTAATTATGAAACTGAGTTGAAGTTAATTAAAGATATTTTAATGTAGCTTTTAAGCACAGCCCTTAGGAAAAAAGAAATCTGCTGTAACCAAAGTGCCGCATTCCGGAGCATGGGTGTGGGCTAAGAGCTGACTTCAAGGTCTTCATAAACATGTAGAGGATCCGGGATTCTCGAAGCTGTTGTGTTCCAAGGCTGCTAAGGGGCCTCTGGTCACAGGATGGCGCCTGAGATGTGAGAATCAATGGATAAAGAGCAAGCCTAGAATCTACAGGGAGGCAGGGCATCTTCACTCTAAACCAAGTGACAGTCTTGTTGAAGGTTCCCAGAAAATGCTGGCATAGCAACGAGACTAAATCCAACACCAGGTACTGAGTCTCCAGCCTGGCTCCCTGCTTTTTAAATATAAAATACCTGTATATGGAAAGAATACTGCCTGAAAGTCAGCACCACTCATAGCAAATATTAACCACGCTTGTCGGTTAAGAAGAGGTTTTGATCAGACTCTGTGGTGGGAAGCTCTATCTGTTCCCATGTCCCTGTAATTTTCTCTCTCTATCCTGCTTCAATTTCAGTGAATAGCTATAAACATACATAGCATACAAATTTGTTTAAATCAAGGGCAAATGAAATTTGGATTCCTGTTTATTTTAAGAATTGCATTGATTTTTGGGGTTTTTTTTGTTTTGTTTTGTTTGTTTTGTTTTTTTGTTTTTCTAAGCAGAGAAACCCTGTCTTGAAGAAAAAAAAAGTAATGTAAGAAATTGACAATGATGGTTGGGGCAGAGGAATAATAGGTTTGAGGTCAGCCTGGGCTATCTGGACTATTTACCAAGCTCCTGTGCATATGTGTGCCTGTGGTGTGTGTGTGTGTGTGTGTGTGTGTGTGTGGTGTATGTGTGTGGTGTGTGTGTGTGGTGTGTGTGGTGTATGTGTGGTGTGTGTGTGTATGGTGTGTGTGTGTGTGGTGTGTGTATAGGTGTGTGTGGTGTGTGTGTGGTGTGTGTGTATATGGTGTATGTGGTGTGTGTGTGTGGTGTGTGTATAGGTGTGTGTGTGTTGTGTGGTGTGTTGTGTGTGTAGGTGTGTGTGTGTGTGTGTGTGTGTGTGTGTGTGTGTGTGTGTAGCAAAGCACACATCTATACCTAGATAGCAGGGCATGGGATACGTTCCTACAGGACATGTTCAATGCAAGCTCATTCCACAGCCAGATCTGTGGAAAGAAAGATAGTCTTTGCCCACTGCAGGCACTGAACAAATGTGTTGGATAAAGCTGGTCACCTCGAGTGCCAGACGGCGCTTGTTTGTGCAGCAGAGACAGTTTGAGGAGGGACTTGCCCCTAGATGTCACTGCTAAGAAGTCATTCCTGGGCGGACTGCTGCTGTTTACGTGTACCTGCTATCTCGTCCCCGTATCAGACTGCTCCAGGCCTTCAGCCTACAGGTGTAAGCATGGGGCCAGTCTCAGCACAGAGCCCGACTCAGGGAGTAGCTGAGAACCCGAAGGTCCCACGTCTCCAAGAGTCAGGTTGGCTAGCTCCCGGGTTATTCTGTTTCTGCCTCAGCATCTCCACCTGCTCTAGGAGTGGAAGGCTGACTCCTTGCTTTGCATCTCTGGAAACACAACTGTCCTCGCTAAGCCCAGCCACAGGCATAATGGAGACCTTGCCCTCCCTCTGTGTGGTCGTCTTACCCTCTCGGATGTCTTTTCCTTTTCGTGGGAGGTCTGAACCCTGGTTATGTCTACTACCTGCTGGCTGCACTTCCCCAGCCTCCTGCCCCATCCCCTGCTGCCATCCAGCTGTGTTCACCTGTGTAAGATAGGACTTGAACTCAGTGTGCACTTACTCAGTCCCTGCTGTGTGCTTCAGGGCCTCTCCCAGCCCAGCATGAAGACAAAGTACTTCCCATCTCTCCAAGGAAGATGTATGCAAAAAAGGCCAAGAGTTTGAATATGTTGATATGGTATCTCCCTCAGACAAAGGAGGTTTTGGTTTATCTGTTGAACTTAATCTGGGAAATATACAAATCTAAGACTGGAGGCACGGTATCAGAACACCCATAAATACATTTATGCATTATTCCACCCACATGGAATGTTGTTCAACACCCAAGATATTAGAGCTCTGGTACTTTTAAACACTACTCGACATGTCAACAAAGTCATCCTCTAGATGTTTGGTTTCTTTTAGAGGATTGCTGTGTGTAGCCTGGCAATACTATGAGGTGCATGTTTCATTATCTTCCAAGTGTGCTCTCCACAATAACCCTCTGGGGAGATTTCTGTAGGTCTCAAACTCTATAAAAGCACTGCTTCTCATAAATGAGGGTTGGTTTTGTTTTTAGCTTCTCAAAGCTGGATGGAGAAATGGCTTAGATAGTCCCTTTGGCTAGAAACGTAGTTGGAGATCACTCTGTGTAAATACATGAGATCTATGGGTAGTTTTGTTCGTTTGTTTTCTTTCTGTGGTCTATTGTGGATTCTTCCTCTTTTCAATCTACCTTTGTTACGTTATCTTTTATATCTCTGAATGGATCACCCCAAATCTTTCTCGTACAAGGCTAAAAGATACATAGATAACACACACACACACAGAAAGAAAGACAGACAGACAGACAGACAGACAGAGACAGATAGAGACAGAGAGAGACAGGGAGGCCGTTCTTAAGACAGACAAAAGAAAACAATTATAGCCTTTGTACACCTAACAATTTTTTTATCTAAATATTTGAGAGACAATGGTATATCCCTTTCCCTGGCAAACAGCTAGTTTGAGAGTCATGTTCAAGTCCATAAATATGGAACTGCTCATTCTATCTCAGTAAATGAGTGACTGAGGGTCAGATACTCTTTGTTCAAACTCACCACAGAGTGCTTCTTCCTGCATGATTAGGTCTGCAAATCAATAATCTGTCCCAGTTTGTCCAGATAAGTACTAAGAATGTTGGCTGACCAATGCTTTGACGTTTGTGTTAAAATGTATGCAATGTATGCCGTGGAGTAGACTGTGTTTGTCTCCACTCTGTCCCTTGGGCAGGCGGAGACAACCGTGTTGCTGTTGTCACTCAGGGCTAATATTGTCAGGTCTCTCTCCACCTCCCTCCCATCCTGGAGCTTCAGCTTCACAGTCCTGACGTTGCTTCTCCAGGGAAGATGCACAGTTCATCTCTAGGGGAGGATTGGGGGTCTTGGTTGTTAGAAAAGCACCCATGTGACCTTGAGCAGTCTAGAACTACTCTTCAGTGGTTAAGAATTATTTGATAGCATGTATAAAATTAGTTGGCTTTAATGAACCAGCAGCTGGGGAGATTAATAAATGGAGTCAAGATTTGGGTGCTGAAATGGTAATGAATTCCTTTGTTTCCAAGATGTGTGGAGGTGGTAGCCTATAAAAACATTTCTTTCTTTCAGGGTTTAGATGCTACAATTAAGGCATTTAAACAACAATGAAATTAAGAGCACATGCACTATGCAGGCTCAACCTATTTATTAGCTACTAATGGAGAGCACTCAGCTAATGTCCTCAGTGGTAATGGAACGTTTTCCACGTTAAGTCCCTAATCACACTCTTTCCTTCTTCACTCAGTAGCACGCAGCCTCTTAAAGGCAGTTAGGAGGAAGAGTGTTGGAGCCCTGAAAGAAAAAAAACCTCACTTTCGACAGCCAGTAACTTCTGTGTTCTGGGTTTTCCCCTGAGCTCCCCAGCCACATCCTTGTAGCCACTCAAGCCACAGTCCTCTGGGCTGAAGTAGTGTGACCAGGACACGCTCACAAGCGTTGTCACTGAGTACAAAGGACAGAAATCAGAAATGAAACTTCCGGGGCTTGAATGGGTGGAGTAGTAGCAATCATGATCCCCAAAGCAAAAGAAGCAACTGTAGGGTGTGACATCCTATCTACCCTTCCTCGGCGGGCCCGTGTGCAGACAGCCCACTGATCACCCACTCTCACAGCCTAAGCCACTAACTCTGAACTGTCTAAGCAATCATTTTAGATAGATGGTCTACATAAGAATCTGATGTCCTGGTGGGAGCTGTGTTCCACGATGCAGCTCTTCATAGTCTTTAGTAGTGAAAACCAACCAGAGACATAGACTTACATCTCACAACAACCGTATGTAAAAGCTATTGCTGTTACTGTCGTTCTCATCCTACAGATGGAAACACGGAGGGCCAGAGGAGTTAAATGACTACTCTGATTGTCAGTAAGAAAGACAAAATAGGAGTCCATACAACTAGCTGTAATATCCGCTGTCAGTCTGAGTCTATGCAGCCAGCCTGCGACGTAGGGAACATTCGGTTAGTTTTAGGGAAGATGCTTCTTTCTCATAGAAGACCCTGCACATGAAAGTCAGAACTACTCAAATAATCTGGAATCAACAAAACTCACTCATGCAGCCAGAACCCAGCTTGGTGGTGCCATGCTCATCAGGCACACATCAGGCTCTGAATTCGCGCTCCAGCATCCACGAGAAGATGCTAAGCCGTGAGGGTGGGGTGGCCTTTCAGAGAAGCAGGACAGTGGCTCCTTTCCCTTGTGCATCTCTTTGGACACAGGGACAGCTGAATCTACTTATCATCACCTGAAAGTATTTACTGAGCACCTATGGATTGGTGTGACAGTAACTTTGCCTGAGGTTAATTTCCCTCCTTGAAAATATTCCATTAAAAAGAGACTGACCTCACAGTGGGCTCACATAGCAGGAAATTTGCCTGGAGCCCCCAGAAGGATAGAAAATAATTAAAAATCAGAGCATACTCTAGTTCCAAACCAAAGATGTCTCCCTAAGTCTGCGTGAAAATCGCAAGAGTTGGCAAATTAATGAGACTGTAGCCCAAGGTGATGTCTGCACTTAGCCTCTGTAATTACTAAGAAACTCGAGATGCCTCGGTGGGTTGGATGAGCAAAGAAAATGATTTCCGGACATCAGAGGCATCATTTAGGATGCAAAGGCACTAATGTACTGGATAAGTCTGGGCTGCTGCTGGAACGGCCCAGACGAGCTCTGGGGACTGCTTCAGCCTTCTCCCTCCATGCTGAGCAGAGAAGAGATTCAGAGTTCTGGTCGGAAAGGACGAAAACTGACACACCCAGTGCCCTCAGTCCGGGCAGCCTTCTGTGCCTGTGTTTTACATAAGCTGCCTTACTTGTATCAAAATGAGCTGGGCCGTTTTACTTAGAATAGTATGTCCACCTTCCACTGTCCAGTGTGACACAAGCCTGGCCTCTGTTATCATTGTGGTCACCGTGCCACATGCAAACGGCACAGTGCTGCCGCTTGAGACTGAAAAGGCCCCCCTCTGCATGTGTCTGAACACTTAGCCCCAGGTAACAGCAGCCTTGGGGAAGCCGCAGAACCTGAGGACACAGGACAGCTGGAGGACACAAGTCACGGGCTCTCCGAGGTTATGTCTGCTTCCGATTCCAACCTGAGTTCCCCGCTTCCTGTCTACTGCAATGTGAACATGCAGCCACCGCAAGCCCCTGCCGTGATAGACTATCACCCTGTGAAGCGTGAGCCGAAGCAACGCCTTTCTCCCTTGGGTTGCAGGCATTTTCTCACACTGATGAGGAGAGGGCAAATAGTAGATACAGACAACGCCATCTTGTGTTGATTGACAAAGATGGGAAGATGCTACGTAGGTTCTGCATTTTTCCTTCGTAACTGGCTGTCACGTGTTTATTTATTCTCCAATAGAGCCCTTCTCGAAGTCTCAGAATAGGTGACTAAGGGAGTTTTCTTCAGCCTTCTGTTCTGTCTCCTGTTATGGGCCATTGAGGTCGCCACCTGCTTGCATGATGCTCTCAAAAACTTTCTCTTGAAGGTAAAGCAATTGAAAGGGAGTCCAACCTTTAAAAAGTTCAATTCCTAGAAGTGTCTGGAGGAATTGCATAGATTCTTTTAAGAGTCGGGTTTTTGAAACATATTTCAGACAGAAATTTTCACCTATTTTACGTGTACAATTCTGAGTTTTGAAAAATGTGACATGCACACCACAGCTAAGTCCTATCACAACAGCAGCTATCTTACCAAGCGATCCATCCTGTGATGGATGAACAGGTTGTATCTGTAAGAACCTAAGAGAACAAAACTTTCCCTTTGTGTTCGTGAATGTGTCTGTCATGCTTTATGCTTTGTTCATTGGCTTACTAGTGGCATTCATAGTCTCCCAGATGTATTGTCTGTTCTTGTGTCTGACAGTGTGAATTTTCACACATCCTTGTTTGTATGTTAGGATAGGAGAGAGATCCCTCACATTGCATAGATGCTTTCTTTGTTATTCCCTCTTAATAACGGCTTGTAGCTCTCACCAGATGCATTTACATTTCTATAATTTTTGCATTGCTTCTGTCCTTGCAAAGTGCCTTCCTAATGCCTGATTAGTCCAGTATTTGCCCTTTTCATGAATGAACCTTTGATTTATCTGGAATTCCTTTTGGCATGCCCCAGAGAGTGAAATTTTAACTTTATTTTCCCCAAGTAATTAATCAGTTATCCAGATCACATTCATAAAAAAGTAGTTTTTCTTCACTAATTTCAGAACGTGTGTTAATTACATCTCATATTTGTTATTCGCTTAGTTGCATCTCCACACTTTTTATTCTATCCCACGAGTTTTCTTGTCTTTTTTTAAACAATAGATACTACTTCACCCTTTTTTGTGTTACAGCCTCATACACTGTTGTAAGATCTGTGGCAGCAAGCACATATTCTTATTGCTAAAATCTATCAAAATGTCTTCTCAGACCCTAACTATGCTAGATAAACTAAAACCCATACCTGAATTTAGTTAGTGAGAAATTTTACTGAAATATCACTGCTTGTAGGTTAACCCAAGATAATAGATTTCCTGAGAGGAGTTTTCTCCCTGAAGTACATGCTATGTTGTCCTGTGTATAAATTTTCCTTTATGTAATGCAGTAGAATCCTACAGTTTAAGTGGGCTCTGCATGTTTTTGTGATGTGTTTATTCTAGGTATAGTATTCTTCTTGTTATCAATACACACAGCAGCTGCTGTTTTTGTTTTTCTGTGTTACTTGCCAACTGGTGGCTACTATTTACATTATTTTTTAAAAATTTTTGTTCTCTGTTTTATAAAAAGCTTGCATGGTTGAACAGATGGTTCAGTTGGAAAATGCTTGCTGCACAAACAAGAATGAGGACCCAAGTTCAGCTCCCAAGAACCCACATAAAAGACGAGCATGGTGGCCGAAGCCTATAGCTTCCCAGTGCTGGAAAGGCAGAGAGGGGTAGACCCTGGGGTCCACTGGCCAACTGGTCGAGGGGAATTGCTGAGCCCCAGGACCAGCGGAAGACTCTGCCCCAGGACCAGGAGTGACTCAGGAAGTCACCCAATGTCTTGACATTGACATCTGGCCTCCATGTACATACACACACAAATACACAAAACATAATTTACCAAAAACTGGTTATAATAATATTTGAATTTTCTTTCCCTCGGGGTTCCATAGAAAAGAGCATATCATTTATAAATAGTAACAATTTTTCTCCACTTTTCTGATTTTATGCTTCATTTCTTTTTCTATTTTTATTTTCTGGCATTTAAAAATTTTTAATTATTTTATAATATACAATATTTCACAGTTACATTTTAATGTAATATTAATTTTCATATTTTTAAAACTCAGAAACTAATGTTAACATAGTTTAGTCAGCATATCTTACGGTTTGGGAGTAAATGCTGTGTAGTATTCTGTGAGAGGGTTTGTTTTTTTTTACTTTTCTCGGTATCTTATATGAAATATTTATATCCATAATCATTAGCATTAGTTTTCTGCACATCTCTCTTCCAGGTCATTCTGTCAAGGCTGAGTTCTGATTTCACAGGAATCAGCATCTCTACCTTTTCACATGCTTTAGCACAGACAAGCCTGTTGCTTGCTAGGTGGGCCTGATGCGTCACCTGCCCCAAAGGTGTTTACGGAGGCAGCAACCTTTGCTCCTTTGTTTGTTCATTCATTCGTTCCTTCCTTCCGCTCCCTCCCTCCCTCCCTCCCTCCTTCCTTCTTTCCTTCCTTTTGGTTTCTTGAGGCAGGATCTAACTCTAGACCAGGCTTACCTGGAACTCACAATGATCCTCCTGCCTCAGCCTCCAGAGTGCTGGGCTGAGGAGCCTAAGCCACCATACTTGGCTCAGCATCAGTTTTGAGAGAACTCTCTTTCACTTAGTGTTTGGAATTTGTTTTGAAATTTCTAAGTTCATTCAACAATTTAGAAAATCAGATGGTGAAAAGCAAATTCTTCTGTTTTTAAAATGCAATAAAGTGTTAAAAATAAATACGAGGGCTAAATTGAACACTTCTGCATTTCTTTGGATTTCGTCAGCTCTCGACAAACATTACTTCCACTTAACATAAAGCCTATTGATTACAATATGGTTGTTCAAAAGAGACTCATGCCTCTTCAGGTAGGACAGGTATTTCTACCCTTAATTTCCTAGGAGAGAACCTGACTCTGAAGGGTACCCTAACAAATAGCATGAGACTTGTCTGAGTCAGTCCCTTTTCCTTGATCACACACTGGTACGTTTACAAGATTATAGTAGTTTACATTCTCCCCATGATTTTCCCTGAGCCAGAGACCTGCCTTGTCCACAAAGAATTCTTTGTGTGAACAGTGACGTATAAATTCCAGCACAGCCTAAGGCTCTTCAGAAATGGCCCTTGACCACAGTCAAAGGCACCGCCAAGCTGGAATCCTGGAGCCCCAGCTTGGGACCCTGATAACAGCATCTTCCTCTCCTTTGTCCAGGACATCTGTGTCAGGGCTTACCTAGCTCTCCGCCATCACACAAACCTGCTCATCATCCTCTTCTCCATGATGCTGATGACGGGAATGCCCCAGTTGACAAGCAAAGAAGACATTGAATACATCCGGGACGCCCTCACGGTGGGGAAAAGCGAGGAGGACGCTAAGAAGCATTTCCTGGATCAGATTGAAGTCTGCAGAGACAAAGGGTGGACAGTGCAGTTCAACTGGTTCCTCCATCTCGTTCTTGGCATCAAACAAGGAGAGAAACACTCTGCTTAGTATTCAGTGCTAGAGCCAAAAGCAATTCTGTGTTCAAAGCTTTGAAATCAGCGTGTGTCAGTCATCAGGCTTCTATTTCAAATGCAATAGGACACTCTGAACACTGACACTTCAGAAATACAGTTTTCCCCAGCTGAACTCTGAACTCTTTCTTCACCAAAGGAAAAACGTTGGCATTAATGATGGTTTGATTAATATTCTGTGTGTGGCTTCTTGGCTGGGTTTTTTTCTCCCTCTCGGTCTCCATGATGTTGACCAATATTCTAAGTTTAAATAGACTGGTGGCTTGCTTATCATGCCTGATGATCATGTATCGAGTGTCTCTGAGGTTCTTTAGTGGAGTAGTTGGTGATTGTAGAGTAGATTGTAGTTCTTTAGTAGAGTAGTTGGTGATTGTAGAGTAGATTGTAGTTCTTTAGTGGAGTGCTTGGTGATTGTAGAGTAGATTGTAGTTCTTTAGTGGAGTGCTTGGTGATTGTAGAGTAGATTGTAATTCTTTAGTGGAGTGCTTGGTGATTGTAGAGTAGATTGTAGTTCTTTAGTGGAGTTCTTGGTGATTGTAGAGTAGATTGTAGTCCTTTAGTGGAGTGCTTGGTGATTGTAGAGTAGATTGTAGTCCTTTAGTAGAGTACTTGATTGTAGAGTAGATTGTAGTCCTTTAATGGAGTAGTTGGTGATTGTAGAGTAGATTGTAGTCCTTTAATGGAGTAGTTGGTGATTGTAGAGTAGATTGTAGTCCTTTAGTGGAGTGCTTGGTGATTGTAGAGTAGATTGTAGTCCTTTAGTAGAGTACTTGATTGTAGAGTAGATTGTAGTTCTTTAGTGGAGTGCTTGGTGATTGTAGAGTAGATTGTAGTCCTTTGATGGAGTAGTTGGTGATTGTAGAGTAGATTGTAGTTCTTTAGTGGAGTGCTTGGTGATTGCAGAGTAGATTGTAGTTCTTTAGTAGAGTAGTTGGTGATTGTAGAGTAGATTGTAGTCCTTTAATGGAGTAGTTGGTGATTGTAGAGTAGATTGTAGTTCTTTAGTGGAGTAGTTGGTGATTGTAGAGTAGATTGTAGTCCTTTAGTGGAGTGCTTGGTGATTGCAGAGTAGATTGTAGTCCTTTAGTGGAGTGCTTGGTGATTGCAGAGTAGATTGTAGTTCTTTAGTAGAGTACTTGGTGATTGTAGAGTAGATTGTAGTCCTTTAGTGGAGTGCTTGGTGATTGCAGAGTAGATTGTAGTCCTTTAGTGGAGTGCTTGGTGATTGCAGAGTAGATTGTAGTTCTTTAGTAGAGTACTTGGTGATTGTAGAGTAGATTGTAGTTCTTTAGTAGAGTACTTGGTGATTGTAGAGTAGATTGTAGTTCTTTAGTGGAGTGCTTGGTGATTGTGGAGTAGATTGTAGTCCTTTAGTAGAGTACTTGGTGATTGTAGAGTAGATTGTAGTTCTTTGGTAGAGTACTTGGTGATTGTAGAGTAGATTGTAGTTCTTTGGTAGAGTACTTGGTGATTGCCCCACGTGTTTACTATGCATTTTGTCTTCCCTGTGTTCTTCAAGCTCCTGACAGAAAAGGGTGCAAGCACTGCCAATCTCCACTGCATTCTCCAAACGTTTCTAAGCATTCCCTCTGTGCCCACAGACGCTGGTGACATGCTAGAAGCAAGGAGTGCCAGTTAGCCTTCTGAGTGCCTTTAGCAATCAGTCTCACCGTGTGCAGCTGGGGTGCATAGGTGCTGAAGCAAACTCCCAGCCTGAGCCTTGACCCTCCCCTGCCGGCGTGGCTCTCGGGTTATGGCTATGGAAAATGGAGGTAAGACCTTTTCCCAAGAGTGAACCACCTAGTACAACCTGTACTTCTCTGGCGCAGAAGCAGGTGACTAAATGGACCCTTGGATCGCTGCACATTCATCCCCCTGCCCCGCCTCCCACCTCTCCACCTCCTGCATGTACCCCTGAACTTGGGAAATCTTCAAGGACAGTTTCTCCCAACATACCAAGTGGCTTGAAAAAGAAAGTCTGCTCTAGGCATACAAGAATTATAGGAACTTATTTGTGGAGCTGCTCCATGGATTTTTTAAAAAATATGTTATTAAAAGATGGGTTCCAGAAAATATTAGTTTCTAAATGCTTTAATTTCACATTTTGAATCTGAACAGTTTTTTTTAATGGAAGGAGTTACTGCTATCAAATGTATTCTAAGCTTATAACACAATTTCATATTCATCTTTCAAAACTTGAGACATTCTGGGGTTCATAAAGAACCATCTTCTTTAAAGTACTTTCTCATTTCTTAAATGTTATGTTGTTTGTTATTAGTGTTGATCTACCCTTAGAGAGAGTTCAATAAATTACCTAATCAAATATCTTTACTTGTCACTAGTCCCATAGAAAATGCTGTCATTGGTGTCCATATTTAAATATTATCAGATACTTTTTCTGATTTTTAAAATTTCATAATAGACTCCACTTAGATGGAGCCCAACCTTTCTTACGTGTTTGCATAAGCCATGTAGCACCTAATTCTGTTTCAAATAAGAATCATTGGGGACACTTTAAAAATGCAAGGGCATTTTTTAAATCACCTTACTCTCAGAGTATAATTTCATCAGTTTGAGATGAGCCTGGGCACCATTTTCTAAGAACTCCAGTTGAATCTAATATACGCGCAGGGGAAGAAGCCTTATGTGTCCCGTGAAGCTGTAGGTAACCCTCCTTTCTCACTGGGCCTTCCGTGACTCATAGCTATCCTGGAAACTAACCCTTTTCAAACCATGCTGTCTCCTGTGCAGAGAGCCAGACCCCATGCTGAAACTTTATTCTCTCTATGATGGAGGTCAGATGTTTTATGGCATTTCCACACCACGGTTCCTGCTAATCTAAGAACAGGAAGAGTGATGCATTCTAACTCCAATGAGAAGCCATTCCTAGGCTTCCAAAGAGAGTCATGCACACTTTGCACAGACTTTGTCTTCCATTTGAATTGCTGAAATTACCATTGATAAACTAATTACAGAGTGTATCTATATTTAGTTTTTGACACACATACACACAAATTAGTTCTTTAAATGAACCAGCTTTTTTATAAAGCTGAAAACCATGACACCACATACTGGGTTTCATTTGAGGGAGGGCCTAGGCCTTCTTTCTTGTATCTGGGCTGCAATAGTATCCTTCCATAGGGAATGGACTCCCAAAGTCCATTTGTGCACTAGGGATAAACACTGGATCCACTGTTAGAGGTTCCATAGACCTCCCAGGCCTCCTATCTGGCACCCACATTCAGAGGGCTTGGTTCAGTCCAATGCTGTTCCCCAGCTTTACAGCTAGGGGCTCTGTGCTCTCACTAGGTCAGGTCTGCTGCTTCTGTGGGTTTCTCCAACATGGTCTTGGCTCCTTTGCTCATCCCTCCTCCCTCTCTACAACTGGATTCCAGGAGTTTAGCCTCCAACAGGAGGAATAGAGGAGAGCAACAAAAGAGACACCTTAATAGAGGGAGCCGGTATAGGTTTAAAGAGAAAGCCATGGCAACACCTTAAAGAAAGCAAACTTTTCCTCTCCCAGGAACTATTAATTGCTAATAGTTCCTGGCTAGGGGTGGGGCTTGTACCCTCTGATCTCCCTGCTGGGATTAGGTCTGGCTTGAACTTTCATGGAGGATTGTTATAACTGCTTCAAGTTCACGTGTGCAGTGGCCCTGCTGTGCCCACAGGACGTTCTTTTCTTGAATTGTTCACCATCTTGTCTCTTACAGTCTCTCTGTCCCTCTTCGTGTGATCACTGAACCTGGAGGAATTTTCCAGTTAGGACTGAATATTGTACAAGCTGTTAAGCTCTGCACTGTGGCCATTTGTTTTTGTTTTTTTTTTAACTTAGGCTTTCCTTTTTTTTTTAAGATTTGTTTATGTATACAGTGTTCTGTCTGTATGCAGGCCAGAAGAGGGCACCAGATCTCATTACAGATGGTTGTGAGCTACCATGTGGTTGCTGGGAATTGAACTCAGGACCTCAGGAAGAGCAGCGAGTGCTCTTAACCTCTGAGCCACCTCTCCAGCCCCATGTCTCTATGGTAGCTGTTATCTCCTGCAAATAGACACTTTCTGATGTGGGTTGAGAGATGTACTGCTCTATGAGTATAACAACAAGTCATTTAGGGTCAACTAAGGGAGCTCTGTAGCATCTTTTGGAAGCTGTTGGTCCTATATTAATGGCAATTGATTATATTTTTAAATATATTAGAAAATACAATTGTGAAATTGCAATACTTGTCTTTTGCAGGATAGGCATTGTTTTCTATAATTGGCAATTATGTTTAAGATGTGAAGAGAATAAAATAAGCTAGGATTTCTTAAAGATTCTGTTAACTGATTTCCAGTTTTAGCCAACCTAATAATTCTGCCGAACACATTGGATTCCACTCTTAGTGCTTGTTCACATGTTTTGAAAAGCTCATCTCAGGACAGACGCCAGGGAATTCTTAAGCACATGCGTGGCTGGCCCTATCTGGCAGCTAAGATGGTCTCTTGTATTTTAATTACAAGTTTTAATTTAAATTAAAAAAAAGAACTTGACATCTTGTGTGTTTTTTAGTGTTTAAACTTCCAAATGTTCTGAAACTCCCATTTTTATTTTAAGAAATTGTTATTGAGTGTCCATTGCTTATGAGACACTGCACAGTATGCTGGGAACATTGAGTCTGCAACAAGATGGACTGAGTCCCATCTCTTACAGTGTTCATCATATGCTGGTGATGCAAATATCCTGTGTGTGTGTGTGTGTGTGTGTGTGTGTGTGTGTGTGAGATTCATGCGTGTGTATGGATCTCTGTGTATGTGTGCCCATGCCTGTTGTGATGCATGTGCATATGTACACCTGTCTGTGCAGGCCAGTGATCAACACTGAGTGCCTTCTTCTATTATTCTACATATAAATTCTCAAGACAGACTCTCTCGCTCAAAGTGTAGCTCACTGATTGGCTAGAAAAGCTGACCAGAAAGCCCAGAGGACCTCCTGCCTTCCCACCCTCTCCCTCACATGCTGGGTCACCCATGCAGACTGCACGGTATCACCACACTGCACCCTGCTTTTTTTTCTAGGAATACAAACTCAGGTGTTTATGCTGTGTGGCAAGCACTTTACTGACAAAACCGTCTACCTAGTGACAGCGCATTGTCAGCGAGTTTCAGTCAGTGGGTTCCTTTGCAGTGCAGCACCGACATTTACACATAAAGACAAACTCTCTATGGCCTGGTTTCTAGCGAGCAATCTGTTTCTTAGTAAGTTTGTTGTAGGTTGAATTGTGCCCCACCTCCTGGCTCTACTATCTTTGAGTATGACCTTATTTGGAAATAGATTTTTGTCCATACACAATCAAATTAAGATGAGGTCCAATGGCTGGTATCATTGAATGAGGAGAGAGGACATACAGGGGAAGAAGCTTCCGCAGGCCGAGGAACATGTAGCAGTAACGGGAGCTGGAGAGGATGTGGGAGAACCCTCCCTTTGGCCCCTCCAAGGATGTGTGCTCCTGCCAACATCTCGATTTTGTACTTCTGACCTCCAGAAGTGTGGCAGGATCTATTTCTGTTATTTTAAGCAACACAGTCCGTGGTACTTGGTTCTGATACCCCCAGCTTACTGATACCAAGTGGATAACACAGTGTTCCATGGAATTGTATTGAGGGTAGGTAATGGTCACAGAACTTACATGGCAACTTGATCGATGTTTTCTACTGCTATCAGAAAGACTTAAACATATATAAAATGTGACAATGGTAGTAATGATGAGAAACTCTGAGCATTCAGTGTGTAAAAAAATTAAATGTGTCTCCTGAACTGAAATTTCCAGAAGAATAAAATGCATGTGCCCAGTAACCCAATGCATTATTTATTAAACACACACAGTCAGCGTAACTCAAGTTTGCCTTCCCTGTCCGCAAAGATTGGTCACTGTCCAGAGCTGGTGCTGACTTGAGGGAAAGGGTACTCTGTTGCACACCAGAAGCAGTGAGAGCTGGCAAATCGATATATGACACTCTGACAAAGCTTATCAAACTCAATGTATCTATTCCTGCTTCAGCCAATCCACGTCCAAGAATCTGTCCATCAGAAAGGATGAGTCACGTCAGGAGCTGGGTAGATGGCTCCACAGATAGAGGGTATGCTGTGCCCACTAAGGCACCTGAGTTCAGGTCCCCAGCACCCAAGTAAGAGTTGGGCATAGTGGTGTGTGTATCTGTAAAGCCAGTGCTGAGGAGCAGAAACAGAGCTCAGTGGCTAACTAGCTGTCAGTGTAGCAGAATTTACACACTCCAGGTTGTGAAAAGCCCTGTCTCAAAATACTAAGATAGAGGGAAGGAAAAGAATGTACCTGATGCCAACTCTAGTCTATGCTTGAGCACACACATGCACACCCACAGATAAGAAAAAATTTAATAATAAAAGCACAGTCACCATCCTTCTAACTAAAATTTACAAACACCCTAAACGTCTCTCCAGAGGAGATCCATTAGCTAAGTGTCACTGAACTATGAGCTGGGCATGTAGCTCATCTGACAGTGGTTGCCTAGTGTGCACACAGGTGTGGATTCAGCCCCCAGCACGGAATAAACTAGACATAATGGGGGCATAGCCATAACCCCAGTGTGAAAGCTAAAGGCAGGAGAATCAGACATGCAAGGCCGTTCTCAGCTACTTGAGTCTGAGGCCAAAAAAAAATGGAAATGGTAGCAAGTTTGGGAGGATATACACATGCCCTGTTGTCTGTTGAAGAGTGCTGGGGAATTGAACCTAAGGTTTCACACATGGGCAACAAGCACTCTACTGATAAACTATATCTCCAGACATTTTTAAACTTGTGTATTTCAAGATATCACCCCTTAATCACACACACTTGCTTTGAACTCACTATAGCTTCAGCTTGTGATCCCTGCCTCAGCTTCCTGAGTGCCTGGGAACGATAGCTTATACTATTACTAGTGATTGTTGTTTTCTGTGCAGTTTGGATTTTGGGGAATTTGAGTTTCTTAACCAGGAAGAAGCATTAATGTTTTCATTTTGAAAAATACATTCTGCATGACAATCATCTTTTAACTAGATCATGCCTCACTGAGAGCTAGCTCAGAAAAAAAATGTTTCTCAAAAGAAAACTAAACTTGAAGTCCATATTACCAAGCAGTGCTATCAAAGCTACCAATTAGAAATTTGGGGAATGAAGATGGCCACTTTCAAGGCTTCTTCCTTACCTGGCCACTAGGTGGTGACCTCTGACCCTAAGACTGGCCTACCTTTGTCTCAACAACAGCAGTGCTTTGGAGAAGGCGGACCTGCCAGCTGCTAGCATCCCAGTCAGGAATGCCCTACCTGCTGCAGCCCCTCAGCTCAGCAAGTCTGTGCTGCCTGTGGTGTGCAGAGCTCTCCAGCCCGCATCTGAAGTCTCCCTAGACGTGCAAACAGCCTCATTTTCACTTCTTAGGAATGGCAGGGTCTTCTAAGCATCTGCTCAGTATCACAAGTGAGCAAATCTCCCTGCCTGCTGCTTTGGTAAGAATTGCTCCTTCAATGTGGTTGTGAGTCAGGCACTTGGAGGATGTCCTGGGGGACAGTGGCCTACCAATGCCAGGTTCCTTTGCAATGCAGAGCAACTTGGGCTCTTCTCAGACTGAACCCTGACAAGTGCTACTATGAGGCTTCCAGGCAAAAAAAAATTTCCATTCCATATCAGATAATTAGAAACCTTCAAAGTGACACCAAACTTCTGGGAGGAATTATTTAATCAATGCAAATTAGCTCATGGTTCTGGGCCTAACATAGATTCAACAGAGAAGCTGCAATCAATTTTAAATGTTGCTCTCATTCACTTTTTTATTAGCTTGATGGAAAATTTATCTATGTGAAATTCAGTAATTTTTAAATGTGTAATTTGATGAGTGTTAATAAACCTGTGTGCTCATGTATTTACTCCCATGGTCAGGATAAGGAACAATTTCGTCATTCTGGAAGGTTTTCTCACACCTCTTTGGAGCTAATCCTCTTCCATCTCTCTCTCTCTTTTTAAAGATCTACTTACTTTTGTTTTATGTGTATGTGTTTGGATGTTTTTACTACATGTATGTCTGTGTAGCATGTGCATACAATGCTAGCAAATGCCAAAGAATGGGCATTAGATCCCCTGAAGGTGGACTTGCAGGTGGTTGTGAGCCTCTCTGTGAGTTCTGGGAATTGAACCCAAGTCCTCTGGAAAAGCAGCCAGTGCTCTTAGCTGCCGAGCCATCTCTCCCACACCTCTGGACATTTAAGAACCAACAACCGAAGCCTCTGTCAGTATAGTTTTGCTCCATACAGTATTTCACGTCAACATCCTCCTATAACATCGTGTTTTAGTGTCCGGCTTTTTTCAGACAACGTGATGCTTCAGAGTCATCTATGTTGCCCAAACAAAATGTCATTTAGAAAAGCTTGCTTTCCCATGGCTTTACTCTAGAGCCAAACACCTTCAGGGTTTGTTGCCTGCTGTGCAGGATATGCCAAGCCAATGACTTATGCCCTGTCTAAGATTGCTAAGGAGGATCCCATTATGGCTTTTACTTTGTTGCTACTTAGACGACATAGAACATGTTCATGAACCTCCCACACTGCCCATTGGGTTCCCAGGTCGGGTGCAATGGTCGACTTTAATGTCAGCTTGCCAGAAATTAGCACCACTTGGATAGGATCCCATCTGAAGAATTGTCCTGATGCCTAAATCAACATGGGAGACCAACCCCCATGTGAGCAGCATTTTCTGGTAGCAGCTCAGACTTTTCCCCCCAAGACAAGGTTTCTCTGTGTTTCCCTGGCTGTCTTGGAATTCACTTTGTAGACCAGGCTGGCTTCTAACTCAGAGATCTGCCTGCCTCTGCCTCCTGAGTGCTGGGATCAAAGGCGTGCACACCTGGCACAGCCCAGATTTTTAAAATGCACGGTGGAAGGAGCATTATCACCATTCGCTCTCTCAGCCTCCCCGAGATGCCCCGTTGATTTACCTGTTGCTACCGAGAATGCCTCCTTCAGTGACAAACAGAACTAGCGCCTCCTTGATCAGCAGCTATCCAGAAACTTGCCAGGTTTTCCATCCCAGATTGGAGCTGTTGAGATGCCCAGCCTTGTGGACTGAGCAACAAGGTGATTGGCCTCTCTGGTGTGAGGTGACCCCTGTGGGGCTGCGGTCACCCGAGCACCAAGCAGCTACAAGATTCTTAGCATCTTTGGTGTGGGACAACTGTGGTTGCTACTTTAACCTAAACCAAGTAGAATCTCCTCCCCCAAGTTCATTTTGGTCAGTGTTTATCACAGAAAACCAGGACAACATGGGTGAGGCCTGAAGAGTCCTCAGGGTTTGATTTCCCACGAGCTCCCGGGTGAAGTCTTAGGACTGCAAGAGTCTGCAGATGTCTGGCAGACTCTGTGAAGGAAGAAAATCAGACAAGAAGGTTGAAGACATGTCCATTCTGTGCTTAAGAAACACTACCCAGAGACATGGTTTCCAACATGTGTGAAAAATACAGACCTCGGCCAGCTACCTCAGTGACAG